GCGTGTGTGATTCGGGAAACATGCCCCCCCCCCAATCACATATTCGTGATATCAAAAACAGGGTGACCCCCCCTATTTCCAAAACCAAAAACAAGGTAACCCCCACTGATCCACCCCCTCCCAGGCCGAAGTAACTGACCAATCCCTAATACAAATATATTTACGTAAGAAACGGCTATATGATTTGATTAGAAGGTGTATTAACGGGCGGTGGTTGTCGCGACGCGTCCAGTTAGATATGGGACTCGTAGCGACGTATACAACGCGTGTAAAATGCAGTTTACGTACATTAAATTCCAACACGCGCTGCGCGACGACCACCGCCCTTTAATCAATATGATATATAGAAGATAATATTTGGTAATCGTAGTCCTAAATAACTACTAAAAATAGCTAGACGTTTCGAGCAATGGCTCTTTATCGATAGCAGGGAAGAAAGTGTTATCAAAGTAAAAGTGCCCTTTAATCAACGTGAGTACCTCGCTCTTAACAATGTGTACCCCAATACCAAAAGCCATATAATAAAAACAATGTAATTGCTGCAAAATAGAACTCTTACACTGGATTCAAGTCAGTAACTTATTCACCGAGCACCGTCTTTCATTTATTTATGGATCAAATCGAGTATAAAAGGTTAAAGTAGTAGAAATAATTGAAGTTACCTCAAAATATTCCTCAAACACACAACATACTATATAATTAATCTGACTTGTAAGGTACCCATGCCAAACATAGCTATTTAAAAAACCTCTGAATGTATTACTACATGTATTATTTATTTTGATAACTGTAAACATCGTACGTGCGCATGTAAGACTGTCAGTATGAGAGTTTTCGAAACCGGGTTCGAAAACCACCTATTAACACCAAGTTCAAATTGAAGTGCCCCTTTCGGGTTACTGAAGTTATTTACTGAATTTGATTTCTTTCCCTGAGACTGGATTGCGTTTGCCGTTACTTGTATGGGTCCATCTTGTGTGTGTTTGGTTGTATTCACAGTCAGCTGGCATGTGTATCGCTGTTCGAACTCACCCACGTTCGAAAATTGTCACCGTGAATTTAGAATGTTGGAATGTTGACAAGAATGTTGGTTAAATATTTCGCTCTACGTGTAAAACTTTTATTTTTTTCAAGGCTGCATTTGTCCCAAATTCGGATGCTGTCTTCCGTTTTGCTGAAGAGCGCCACACGTGGTGATAGTTTTCATAGATATCTTGCGCCCTCGCAACAGGCCTAGACATCCAGAGAAAGGTTAAAGTTTAAAGCAGTCAAACCCTTCACCCGCGACCTTCAAAAGAAGACCCTCAATTAGATATTGAATTCTTATCTTTATTTTTTGGCGAACCTTTTCCCATACCTTACACCCAACCACATGCTGTTATCGACGCTACTTTTTCGATGACGGGGCCGATGAAAACACGATATCAAACGCGAAGATTGTTAGAGCTTGAAGTTGCAGGCAGGAAACGTCGACACAGGAGAAGACATGACGAATCCTTGTTGCCATCGTCAGAGTCGTTCGGTGCTGTTTCGAGACAGAGCAAAATATTTATAATGCGAAAAGCGACAAGTAAGCTGAAGACAAAGTACAGAAAGAAAGGTGAATACTTTTATATATATATTTATTCAGAAATCTGAAATTAACGATTCGTATAAAGCATATGCCGGTTGTTGTCTACATCATGCAAATTTGGTTTTCGCGGCAACCCGGCTTTCGACATTTATACTTTCATTTACACGCCATTTATAAAAATATTTTATTTTATTGAAACAACACCATAAACTAAACAAACAAGGGACTGTGTGCAAATCTAGTAAGCTCTTTTTTTCAGTCGTTAAGGGAATCTTTTTTTCTGTGAATACCAGGAATACCATGTTACACAAGACACGAGTGCTATTTTAGACTACTATAGACAGACAGACTAGCAATGCGCCTTTTCCTTTGGTCATATGCGTGCCACGTTTGTTTTGAGGCTTAAGGTCGAAGTCTACTCTTAAATTAAAATACCCAGAATTTATTCATTTTGCAATAAACTGTATTCCAAGGCAATATAAGAATATTGACCTACAAAAAGTTGGGGGTCACCAACCTGTTTTTCGAGAAATTGATGGTTATATTTTCGTGGAAAGTCAATATTTTGACACTATATAACATTTTACGATAGGTTCCTATGGCAGCGATATGCAATATCTTAAAATCTAGCCTGGTGACATAGGCTAAAAAATCATATATTGTTAATGATGGAGTACTTTTTGTTGTTCTGAATTATGTAAAAAATCTGCGTTTTAAAAAGTCTCAAAAAATGCAATTTTTCGTTAACATTGTGTTCTATGGAATTGTTCTAAAAATAGCAATTTTCAATAAATATTAGAACACTTTTCTCAAAAAGTTTAACTGTAACACACAATATAACGTTATTTTATTGTACCATGAGACATTAGCTTCATGATTGCACATAATAAACTAATAAACATTGTCATGCGATTTATGACCAATTTTGTCAAAAATTATGACCTTAAGTTTTTAATCCAATAAACAACCAATCAAACTAACGCGACTATAATATAATAAAGCAGTGTCCTTTATTATTTCATCAAAAAACGCGAGATAGTGCAAGATGTACACAGGTAGTAGTATTACCGTAGTTGGGCCAGAGTTTTTCTTTTGTCTTAGTTAAATAATCTCCACAAATGCGACAAAAAGTATGCAAGCTATTTCTGCGTTTATTCTTCATATTTCTGTAATTATTATCCAAATAAAAATAGAAATAGCTAAAATTATGCTCCATTAACATATCAGCTTTCTACTAAATATTCGGTTATTGTATGAACATATCAAGTTTTCAAATGCATTGTCCACAAAAACTATGTAGCATCCACATAAAAGAACACTACTATTTGACCTTTATAGAAAAATTTTCACATATTCTGAAAAAATTTAAATAATGAGAAATATATACTACTATATATATACTATTTATTTCAGACAAATAAGTCCATATCCACACACACACACAAAATAATAATATTAGTAAATAAATACTAGAAAGAACAAGAAATAATATCAGGAAATGATAGTTCGCTTGCTATTACATAATTGCACATAGCATCTCAGTACAGCATTTCATTCCAACGCTGCAACAAGGCTGACTTCCATGTCAAATCACTGTTCCATAAACTAGTTAATATACTGTTGTTGGACTAGCATGCACGCTCTCTAAATTTATATACTATATTCCTGTAAGTTTCATAAAATGATTTGACACGGTTAGCAACAAACATTAATCTAGCACTGTGGTCATATGGATAGTCAAAAAGTCTACGGAATAGGTTGTTATAAGAAACCTTCAAAGAATTAAGGGTCGCTTTGTTAAAAAAGCACCACAACTGTGAACAATAAATATCATAACATGTTTTGAACAAGAGACATTTAACATTATAGCTGCACTTAACGAATTTCCTAAGAAGTAGGTTTGCTCTCACACAAAACAAGCGACGTTGGTGGTCAATGTCTGCATTATCTTTCATGTCACACGTGACCCTATGACCCAGATACGTAATCTGCAAGACAAATTCTATGTTCTGGCCCATCAGTTTAATCTG